ATGAACGAAAAAAATATTATCTTCAATTGGCTGGAAGAAGACACAGAGAGTTTCAAGCTTTTTTAACAAACAATTTTCTTAAGGATGCCCAAGGAAATTTTATTGAAGTAGAACGTCCAAAGAAGTATGCAGACTTGATTTCACCTGAAGAATGGGAAACTTTTGTAGTCAAACGAAGAACCCCAAATTTCCATGTAATGTTAATTTATCATGAATATTGTATTATATACTTGTTCCACAGGTTTCCTGATATGACTTAAACTTGTTTATCCAGAAAATAAGTGACATAAATCGCCAACAACCATCAAAACCCGCATATCCATATAAATAAGGGCATTTGGGATATGCTTGCTTACAACAAAGAATAGTAAGTATATATGAATGATATGATATACTTGTTCCCCATGTGTTATAATTGATCTCGTTATTTGTCTTAATGTGGAGTTAGAAGAGGATAAAAGTGAAGAAACATTTATTCCAGAATATGTTTTGTGGAAGGCTGCTCGTGTGGGTAAGGATGGAGTTGTTAAGGAAGATGTCCAACAAGTTTTTTTAGCAATGTGTAAGTATAACATTATTTTTTTAATTAAATCAAAAGTTTATTAACATATAATATTTATGCTTTTTAATCCCCACTAATCTTTTTCGATATGCATATGAATTTTAGGAGAATTTATCTCAGTCTTTATCTCTAGCTGAAGACCGTGATTACAGGAGCATACTAAGTCAAGTATTAAATATTTCTGAGTATTCCGGTCGTGTGAGGGATAAGGGATTTGGGGTCACTCCAACATTCTTGTATAAACATCCAAAGAGTAAAAGTCCTAGCAATAAACAAGTGATGGAATTGTTGGAAGAATTGAGATCTCGAGCTCGTGAATTGAAAAAGGATAAAGAAAGAGATATGTCAAAAATTAAGGCGAGGTTCAGAGTTTAAAGATACTAGCGACAAAGATAGTATCAATTGTAATTTTCAATAGAAAGTTCCCGAGGTAATTATATATATTATTATAAAATTAAATTAGCATAATTTTTTTAATTGACATATATACACATTAACAATTTCATATTTATTATTGGTTTAGGGTATTTCACATTGACAACTCTATTTATCGTCACCGACTTATCGCATGGTTGGCAAGAGAAAAATGCATAACACTTTGGGAGATGTACTTCGCCATAAACCGCTCTATGCTGAATTTTTGAAAGTATCAATTTATATTGCTTTAGAGGGGGTGCACTATTACCTATATCTGACGATGTTTCAGATGCAACATTAGTGGGAGACACAATAGGATCGTATGTTGCATGGCCGTCAAACCTCATTTTCATAGATGATGAGGTATATTGAAAAACATTATGAACCTTTGAGTATTCAAATTTTTTACGAGCCACGTAAGTTATTCTTACATTGACGTACATTTTATTTACATGGTAATGGTAGACTTCTACAAAACCTAAATCAAAAGATAAGGGGATTATAAGGCACAACGAGTCAGTTGCATCAAAAAAAGAGGTACATTGATATATATGCATAGAAAATGTTAATTCTATCCTCCAAAATCAAAAGCTTCATGATCTTATACATTACCTAACTTATATGATATTTAGATTCATGCTCAAGAGTTGCAACAAGTCAGCAGGAATAAGAAGCCTGAATTTAGCAACATGTCCAAAAAAACAGGATCTTGCAAAGGCCGAGCTTAAAAAATATCTATTTCTCGATTTAGGTTATGCCTTAAAATATATGTAGGAACAACAGATGTGGTGGAAGGTGGTATTCGTGATATACCTATGGAGGAAGGTGCTTTTGGTTTTTCTTATATCGAAACAATTGCTAAAGAGGATATGGATCAGATTTTTCATCATGATGACTTAGGCATCGGTGTTATCAATTCATATATCGGGTACTTTGATCAACTTTATTTAATTAATTGAACAATTTATTAACTCATTTCAATGAATAGTCTAATGTTAATTATATTTTTATTTAAGGTTCTTGTATGACAAATTGATGCGCCCGTGTCAATTAACAGAAAGATTCTCTTTCTTATCTCCCAACTGTATTTATGCACAGTTAATCGATCAAAATCCAAATCCAATCAAAGAGTACTTAGTCGGTATATTTATGGCCAACAAAGATACATAAAAGTTGTTTCTTTTACCATATAATACTGGGTTAGATTTTCATTCTAACTTCATTTATTATAATTTTAATTTTTTGACGTTGTGTAGAAAATTCTAATCTAAAATTTTGTTTTATTTTACAGTGGACACTGGGTATTGGTTGCAATTAATCCTATAAAAGAAATAGTATATTATCTGGATTCGTTAGATGGTGATCAAACAAAATACTCAAATATAAAGAAGATGGTTGATACATAAGTGAGATTGTTCTAAATATTCGTGTGTATATTTATTTATTTATATGAGATTGTTTTAAATATTCGTTTATATTTTTTTAGAGCTATACAAATATTTCGATCACAAAGAAAAGCTCAAGTACCAAAGAGTAAAGCAAACAACATTACATGGATCAGAGTGCAGGTATATTTTACAATTTTGATTATAATAGTGATGCTACTTGATGAAACAATTTAAACTATATATCCTGATATATATTTGTATTTTTTTATATGTGTAGTGTCCTCATCAGCTTAATGGTATAGATTGCGGTTATTTCGTAGTGAGGTTTATGAAATAAACTATTCTTTTGGATCAAATAGAGATTCCAAACATGGTATGAATTTATAAGTTAGGATTTATTTTAATATTTAACAGATATTTCATCTAATTAATTAGTTTTAACTAAATCATATTATGTTATATTATGTAGTACTTTGATGAATTCAAATGTGCTACTTACTCAAAAGATCAACTGGAAGAAATTAAGGAGCAATGTTGTCAATACATTCTTGAGATGAGAATTATATAAGGTATTGTCTTTCTTTCTTTTGTGTGAAGTTTATGGTCCTTAGAGATTTTTGTTGTTGTGATGTTCTGTATTGGATTGGAATAGTTCTAAAAGTTGTTGTGAATTAAGGGGTGATAAAATTTGTAATTATGTTTGGTGAATCTTTGGAAGTTAAAGGTTTTGGAAGTGGATCTATTGTTATTAGAATGATGGATATTTTAATTTTGAAGAAAATTGATTATTAATGGTATATAGCATTTATAAATTTTGATAAAAACATTTTTTTTTGGTGTATGAGGTTTGTGTTGAATTATAATGGTTATAAGGTTTATGTGTTGAATTATAATGGTTATAAGGTTATAAGGTTTATGTGTTGAATTAAAGGTTTGTGTTGAATTATAAAGGTTTGTGATAAATTTTGATAAAAATATGATTTTCTTGATGTATAATGGTATATACCAATATTTATAAGGTTTATGTTGAATTATAATGGTTATAAGGTTTATGTGTTATATAGTTTGGTTCTGATGCCTTTTAATTTGTTGGTTTTGTTTCAGATAGGTGCAGAAGATAGAGATAACATGTTACTAAAAGTTGTTGATATGTGCAGAAGACAAGTTCATAGTTTTTTAGCTAGAGTTGGCATATATGTGGCATATATATTGGTAATATGCAAATTTGGAATACATATCAAAAACTATCTGCTGTATATATATTGGTAATATGCAAATTTGAAATATATATCAAAAACTATCTGCTATAACGATTTCATTTTGTGTCAGCGCTTCTAAAAAACATGTTGTCATTTTATTAAAAAATAAGACTTATGCCAATGTTTTAACAAAAACACGCTTTCATACGTACGTGCACAATAGACAACATTTTTAACAAAAAAACGCTTCCTAAATGAGAATTTAGACAACGCTTTTTTAAAAAGGTGATGCCTAAGTGGAGAATAGAAAGCACTTTGAAAAAAAAAGGCGCTGCCTATAGTGGAAAATAGAAAGCGCTTTTAAAGAAAGCGTTGCCTAAAAGAGACCTAAAAGAGAACTAAAAGATACATTAGACAGCGTTTTTAAAAGTGATGTCTAAAGGGGGACAATAGAAAGCGCTTTTTTTAAAAAAGCGCTGCCTAAAGGTGACAATAAAAAGCGCTTTTAAAAATAAGCGTTGCCTAAAGGGGACATAAGGTCGCGCTTTTGCATTTTAAAAAAAACGTTGTTTTTACCTATATCAGCGCCAGTATAGGCAGCACTTTTAAGTGTTTTTACCTCCAAACGATGAAAGCAAAATACACACACAATATCATGTGGATTGGTCAAGATTTCACAACGAAAGAAATTTCTCCTCGTTGTCAATCTATCCCGCCACAATCTCCAACCAAACACTTTCGCCTTAAACGGAATCAAAACTTTCCAATTATGATATATATATATATATATATATATATATATATATATATATATATAAAGATCAAAATGAGTATAAAGAATGGTCATCTCCGCGTACACAAGATGTACTAAGCGGATACCACAAAAAAAGAACAACAAATAACAATCAAAACAACAATAACAGAGAAATAAAAAAACTAATTAGATAAAGACAACCAAGTAGCAATACAATGATGAAAATATTGAAGTAACAAAACGACAACCCCAACAATAGAAACAACGACCTTTTAAAAAAGACAACAAGAACACTCCATCATTAAATAAAAGATCAAAGCAGACGAAGAAAGTACAAGAGCTAATCGCAAACCTACTAAAATATTATTTCCAAACATAAGATAATTTCATCTTCTACATCCTTCACATTAAATGATGAACCTAAAAAAGTAATATCATTATAAAATCTTTTAATAATCCATACCACATAATGTCAAATCCTAACGCTGCCACCTCACAAATCAAAAATATCACACTTGAAAAAAATAGTCAGAAACATCCCAAAGTAGTCAGAAACATGATCTCTAAACTCATATATCACACTTAATTTTTTTACAAAAATATGTCCATGAATAAGCATATTCCTACAGTTTTATTTATATTCAAACATAAGAGTAAAGACCCTTAATTATTATAACAAATTAAAAACTACTCTCTCTAAAAAGATGTTCTTCTCCTGATTGTTGATCTATGTGTTTGATCCAACGGCTAGTAGTACCCTTTGAAGAACCAGCACTAGAAGATCCACCACCACCACCATTAATTCTACTTCCTATGTAAGCAATATCCAAACCCATTCCAACCGGCAAAAAAACCGATCTAACCACACGTGTGCCTCTTTCAAGAACCATGTTCCATTTAAACCAAGAGAAATTCGATCTTTGCCATGCATTTTTGCATGCCAAAACTGCGCCTCTAGTACTAACTTTTGCAACCTTAAGAACCCTAGCAAAGTCCCTAAGTCTACAATCCACCACGAGAAAATCAAGGCCGTCGAGGCTTTTGATCACTGTCTCTGCTTCACCGCGTACTATCTCCGGTGGTGGCGATACTCCCATCTCGGCTAGGGCTTTTGTGTAGTGTAGCCTTGTACCTTCATCTGGAACTATGCACACATGTCTTGCACCCGTGTTGCGAGCAGCAACTGCTAGGCCAATACTCGCGGCTATCGGACCGCAGTTGGAATAACATTCGACGATGAACTTGGCGTTCCATCCGGCTGCCATGGATGATAGAAGCTCAGCTACACCAGATTCTTTGAATTTTTCACTCTACAAAAAATAACTCACAATTAATTCAATATCATATTCATTTTAATTAAATATCATATAAAATATCACAAAGAAAGAAAGAAAAGTGAGTATGAATATGTGAATGATCTTACTTGTTGTTGAGGTTGAAAGTTACTTACGGATTTCAGTTTCACAGTGTCTATGTATGATTTCAAGGCAGTTTCTGGAGACCAAACGAGCTTCATGATGTGTATATGGCTTTCTTGTTTTTCTTTAACTTTCTTTGTGTATGTGTTGCTATCTTTGATAACTTTCTTGGATATTTTGAGTCTTATAAAGGTGATTGAAAGAACAAATTAAGATATAGAGGTACACGTTGACGTACGGGGAAAGGGTTAGGTGAGTATGATAAGTGGTTTTATGTATATATATTTCTTTTATATATGTGATGAACATAGAGAGAGAGAGAGAGAGAGAGAGAGAGAGAGAGAGAGAGAGAGAGAGAGAGAGAGAGAGAGAGAGAGAGAGAGAGAGAGAGAGAGAGAGAGAGAGAGAGAGAGAGAGAGAGAGAGAGAGAGAGAGAGAGAGAGAGAGAGAGAGAGAGAGAGAGAGATGAGAGAGAGAGAGAGAGAGAGAGAGAGAGAGAGAGAGAGAGAGAGAGAGAGAGAGAGAGAGAGAGAGAGAGAGAGAGAGAGAGAGAGAGAGAGAGGAGAGAGAGAGAGAGAGAGAGAGAGAAGAGTTGACATTTTGCAAATGCAAGTTGAACGTGTAGATTAAAGCAAAAGATACAGAAAATAAACATAAAATAGGTTGATATTATGATCATTGATGTTAGAGGTAGTGATAGCTGTTATTATTAAAGTTCCATCCTGTCATTATGCAATGCAAATCATGTTTATGTATTCAATTAAATATTGTCTATTTTTGTTTGTTTGTCAATTTGAGTGGTTAAAGTTTGACAAAATCGTACTAGATGGAAAAGTCCTTCATGTTACTTTTTGTGTAAAATTAAATAAAAGACTTTGGAGTTCGATTGAGTCATGCAGGAATCAGTAATAATGATTTTTACTATGGAATAATAGAAAATTACACTTTCTCTCAATGTGATGAAAATTAGATCTATCTAGATCTAGCCGGTTCAATCAGTTGAATTGAGAGTTGAACCTATAACCGATCGGAATAAGCTTGAAAACTATTATGTTTAAAAACTAAAAATCAAAGTAGGTTTTAGACATCAATTAGATAATAAATGATAGTAATTATAAAATAATATCTAATTACCATTGCTTTCAAGTCAACCATAAAGAACACAACTAACGTTATATACGTAGGAAATTATGGATGAAAGTAGTGTAAGTGTTCCATGGTGGAACGAGAAAAAGAAGTTGATGGAAAAACAAGCTTTTATAGGAAGGACCTGTAAGGTTAGTACTCTAAATTCCAAGTCAATGGAGTAAGAGAGATGTAGTTTGAGAGTGATAATGGGATAATACTTGTAATAAGGCGTCGTAGGGCTTATATATGATAGGCGGTTAAAATCGCTTCCGTCTAACTCAAACCGTAATAAATAGAGACGTTCGATCAGATATAAAGGTGAAGGATGTATCAGTAGCGGGGATCAGGTGATTGGTCTTTTGCTGAGGTCCTACCTATTCCTTTGTCTAGTGAGTTGGTATTATATGTTGGGCCTTACAATTAGGGCTTCTTCCTTAACCTTTGTTCGGTCCAAAACAATAGCCCCCAAGTATTTAATGCTACTTTGAGAAGTAAGGATTGTATTACTTAGGATCCCTATAGTTATCGTTTTGGGCCTCCTATAATGCCTTTGGCTTGTAAAAGTGGAAAAGTCTGGTGAATTGTAGAAAGTGTCCTCGGGAACACGCATATTAAATGATTGTCTTATAACTGCATAGTTTCTCATAGAAAACTTGTCACATGGCGTAGGTCTAATGGAAAAAGAGACTTTTCTATAGTACTTGAGCACCCAAGTAAATCAAGATTCGATAAGGTCCATTGATAGCATGGGTGTGCTTCCATGTGTCTTCTAATATTGATTGTGTTATAATCGACCAAGTAATATATATGAACATTTAAGGGTGTACTTTATTTTCTTTCCACTTCTATTGCATGTAAGATTTAGAGATTCTCTTGTTTCTCTTTTTGCTTTCAACTCCATTTCCTATTATAGTTTTCTATCGATTAATACCCGGACATATCCCGTGACATTCCGATGTTTTGACTCGCACACACATCGGGAAACACCATTTTTTAAAGGTAATGAACAATATATATTTTCTTTATGTACTTGCTTAACATTTATTAGGGTTCTGCGAAGATGATTATGTGAGAAAAAAGGATTTTGCAATCGAGAATAGAGAGATTGTTGGTGGTCTTAATTCTAGAGAAATTTTTAGGATTTTTGCTTTCCTAACTTTCACTATAACAAATAATAGATATTGTAACGACCTTTTACCTTGGTCATTTAATCTATCGAGATAAAATCTATTCAAAAGATACTTTTCTCCTCAATAAATGTTACCAGCCAAGGAAAAGGTAGCATGTTCCCTTTATTTTTATTTTAAAATTTAAATTAAGTTACTTTTCCCCAGTCTTATTTAACAACCTTGGGGAAATGTCCCTCAGGGACACCCTTTGAATCCCAACACCAATAGTTTTATTATTTATTCATTTTCATGCCATTTTTTTACCATTCACCATTTTACTTTTTGATTGTAATATCTTCTCAATTTTTTTTAATATCTTGACAATTTTGGCTTTAAAGATTAACATCAAGGTTCAAATATAACATTTAATTGATAAAGCTGAATTTGACATTATTTTTCAAACCAAAGTTTTCAAGATATTGTTTTAGCATCTTCAAAACCAAATATCCAAATTCAATGATACAACAACAACAACACAAGAAATGATGTTTTCTAGTTTGGATTATGGAAACAATTATGTTTTCAAGTTTGTTTTAGGGTAGAAATGGAGTTTGACCTTCTATTAGAATCCAGAAAGATCATCCCAAAGATCTTATCATAGGAGATCCCAACAGTAGTGTAATTACCAGATCTAGAGAGATCATCTCAAGTTCATGTTTTGTATCCAAGATTGAACCAAAATATGTGAAGGAAGCTCTAACTGATGAATATTGGATCAATGTCATGCAAGATGAATTGGAACAGTTCAAAAGGAATGAAGTGTGGGAATTGGTTCCAAGACTTGAAGGAACAAACATCATTAGTACCAAGTGGATCTACAAGAACAAATCTGATGAACAAGGAGTAATAACTAGAAATAAGGCTAGACTGGTGGCACAAGGTTATACTCAAGTTGAAGGGATTGATTTTGATGAAACTTTTGCACCTGTTGCAAGACTTGAGCCAATAAGGCTACTGTTAGGAGTTGCTTGCATTCTGAAGTTCAAATTATTCCAGATGGATGTGAAAAGTGCTTTTCTAAATGGATAATTGAATGAGGAAGTATATGTGGAACAATATAAAGGATTTGATGATCCTAACCTGCCAAATCATGTATACAAATTGAGGAAAGCCCTTTATGGATTGAAGCAAGCTTCTAGAGCTTGGTATGAGAGACTGACTGAGTTTCTCACTATTAATGGATACAGGAAAGGAGGGATAAACAAGACCCTTTTGTGAAGGATGAAGGTGGAAAAATCATGATTGCTCAAATCTATGTGGATGACATAGTTTTTGGTGGGATGTCAAATAGGATGGTCAAACATTTTGTCAATCAAATGCAATCTGAGTTTGAAATGAGCCTTGTTGGAGAATTAACATACTTTCTTGGGCTGCAAGTCAAGCAAAAGGACAATTCCATTTTTCTCTCCCAAAGTAAATATGCTAAGAACATAGTCAAAAAATTTGGCATGGATAATGCTAGTCACAAAAGAACACCTACACCCACACATTTGAAGTTATCTAAAGATGAAGGTGGTACTAGTGTTGATCAAAGCCTGTATAGAAGCATGATTGGAAGCTTGCTATATCTAACTGCTAGTAGACCTGATATTGCATTTGTAGTTGGTGTGTGTGCAAGATATCAAGCAGATCCCAAAGTGAGTCACATAAATCAAGTCAAGAGGATTCTCAAATATGTGAATGGAACTTGTGATTATGGTATGCTTTATTCTCATGGGTGTGACCCTATTTTATCTGCGTATTGTGATGCTGATTGGGCTGGGAGTGCTGATGACAAAAAAATCACATATGGTGGATGTTTCTTCTTAGGGAACAACCTTATATCATGGTTCAGCAAGAAGCAAAACTGTGTCTCCTTATCCACTGCTGAAGCTGAATACATAGCAGTTGTTCCCAACTGGTCTAGATGAAGAAAATGTTAACTGAATACAATGTCACTCAGGATGTCATGACATTATACTGTGACAATCTTATTGCCATCAATATTTCCAAGAACCCAATTCAGCATAGTAGAACCAAGCATATTGATATCAGACATCACTTCATAAGAGATCTTGTGGAAGACAAAGTGATTACCCTAGAGCATGTGGCCACTGAACTACAACTTGATGACATTTTTACAAAAGCTCTAGATGCTACTCAATTTGAGAATTTAAGAAGCAAGTTGGGAATTTGCATTTATAAGGACTTATAGAAATTGTTTCTGACTGTTTTGATCAATGCTAATCCCTTAGTTTATGATCTTAAATTATGGCTAAAAAAGGGGAGAAGTAGTTGTACAGCTAAGTAGTTATATGATATACAACTTGGTGTATGTTCCTAAATAGGTGGAAGATGTAATGTGTTGTTGCTCTAACTGTATACCTTATTCTGGTGTGTTTTGCTGGTGTTCTGAGCAGATGTGAAGATGGTAGCTGTTGATGTTGCTCTTTTGTTGTTAACAGGCTGTTGATCATGTTGATCCTGTTAGATGTTAGTTGTGTTCCTTGTTGGAACTTAGTAGTAGCCTAGTTGCTTGTGCTTGGATAGGTTGTGCTCTACAGGTTGCCGGTAGTTTGTGTTTATGGGCTGTTTTTTTTTTGTGCTGATTTGAATGGTTTGTTGTGCATCTGTTAAGGGGAAGTTTATTTGTTTTTACTTCCCTTGATTTGGAGTATTTTTCTGATGTGATGTACTCTTTTATCATGTTTTGATCTTGTGATTTGTTTTACCCAAAATTTGTCAAAGGGGGAGTTTGTTAGTTCTTGATTGGCAGGAATTTTGGTAAAACTAAGTGTAATCACATGATGTTCTACAAGATG